GTTTGAGGGTGTTTGAAGGGTTCTTTTGGTGGACTTTTTTTTCTTGGTTATTTTGAATAGCCCAAATGCCTATTCAGTGCCAGTCTAGGAAAGAATGGAGTTAGCATTTTCACACCATCCCTTCCTATACAGGTCTTGAATACCACCTCATCAAGATTTGTTTTCAATGAGGGAACAAATCTACAGTAGGCTATTTCAAATTTATTCCATTGGAATCTATACATTAATGCCCATTGGATGAAAAGGACATGTTCACAAAAGCCTGGACTTTGCCTTACTGTGGCAGAAACTTTCCCACTGTATTCGTGTTAAAAAATAAAAGCAAGCCTGGGAAAGGAATTGCCTGGGCAGGCATTGTGTGCTGGAGAAATGGGGCGTGCTTGAATGGAGAGGCATTACCATTACATCTGTACCACTATCAGTTAAAGAGAAGTCAGCCTTTCATGGCAGCTCACTACAGTGGGGGGCCAAGTGTACTCAGGGACATGTTTAGAGTCTTGTCCATAGAAATCCAGAGGGCTGAAAGTCAGCTTGCATCTGTGTAAAGCTTTACCTTTGACTCTGCGTTTTTTAGTGAAGTTGATGAAACACTAATATAATACTAATATAGACTATATAGCAAATAACCTGATTGTTTAGATTTGCTAAATCTTCACTCCAGTTTGTTCTAACAGAGTTTTCTCATAAAGTGGTGTGTGTGTGTGTGCATGTGTGAGAGAGAGAGAGAGAGAGATGAAATATGTAAAATAAAATAGATTTTAAAAACTTTCTCCCCTATCTCTTAAGAAATGTTTACCATAGTTTTTACTTATGCTCTTTCTCTCTTAAAAAACGAGAATGAGGATAGTTCCAGATCCTTGGCAATTCACGTGTCATTTCTCAAGGCACCAAGAAGTATGGGTTCTAATCCCAATTCTGCCACTTGTTTGCTTCATGAATAGAACTTTAACTAAACCAGGTAGAAACTTTAGAACCATAACTTCATCTTGCATCAAACAGAAATAACCACAGTGTCCTGAAGATGTACAGGGTTACTGCACAAACAAATGAGGTCTTACAAAGCAGAGAATTTTGTACTGTGTAAAATGCTGTAGGGGCACTAACCAGTGTAACCATTGGGAAGGGGTTGCTCCTGAACCCACTGAAGGAAGCAGCTGTATCATCTGACCTCTGCAGTGCAGTGCTTGTGACTAGTACTGTGGTCACATAGGCATTGGCGATGTCTCTACCTGTGTAGAAAGAGACATTTGCTAGTAAGCCCACCTTGCCCAGAAATGGTGTTCCTCCTGCTGTGGACAGCCAATATGCTGTGCAGCTACTCTTTTGCTTAAAGCAAAGAGAGGCTTCAGTGACAGTGAAATCCCATGGAGAGAGTAATACATTTTAGTTCCAGGACAAATTGTTTTAGTTCTCATAAATAAATAGATACATGGTGTACATTCTCACATGCATGTGGAGGATTTGTTTGTTTTTGAGACATGATTTCTCTGTGTAGCTCTGGCTATCCTTGAACTCACTTTGTAAAACAGGCTGGCCTCTGCTGGGATTAAAGACATGTACTTCCAGCACCTAGCTGCATGTGGATGTGTTTAAGTTAGATAGGTGACTGCAGCTACAGTCAAGTCTCTTGGCCTAGAGGCATGAAGGCTGGAGGAAGTCTTTAAATTTTAACTTGAGAGCTGATAGTTGCCACAGGGACAAAGCACGTGATGAAGTGAAACTGTCAGGACTGAAATCCAGAGCCACAACACCTGGGTTCATACAACAGTTCTACCTCTAGTTACCAGTGCAGCCTTGAACACATTATGTAATTTCTGTGGTCATAATTTCTCAATTTATAAATGGGAATAGTAAGTGGAGCAATACTGCATAGAGTTTGGACAGTGCTTAATAGACCATGAGGCTTGAAGAAAGTTTGTCCTTCTATATACACGTGGGGGAATTCATCCAGGAGTTGGAATATGATCAGTTACTATTCATGGACATTCATTCCTGAATTACTGGGATCTTCATCTTGGTATATTGGTTATTGGGGAGTTGCCATAATCATTCAGTCGTGCAAAAAGAATCTGTTTTATTAAGTAAAAAAGTTGGAGAGTGTAACCTAATACAGGATTTCAGAGGCATAATAAACCTGATGGAAGTTGAAAGAGGTTCACTTTCCAATGTAATGTAAATGTAATGTAAATAGCATCACTGAATTGATACTGGGGCGTGAGTGCACTTAGGATCCTTAGACCGTATGGGAGTGATCCAGTAGAACAAAGTCAAGTCCCTATAGCATAAGAGAAAACCTGAGGAGGCAGACGTGCCTGCTATGCACAGGCCAGTTTCTCTGGGGTTGCTTACAACAGAACATAAGATCTTAGTTACACAGGGTGGTAGTGACACACGTCTTTAATCCCAGCACTCTGGAGGCAGAGACAGGAGGATCTCTGTGAGTTCGAGACCAGCCTGGTCTACCAGAGCTAGTTCCAGGACAGCAGGACAGCCTCCAAAGTCTCAGAGAAACCCTGTCTAAAAAAAAAAAAAAAAAAAAAAAAAGGTCTAAGTTACAATCCATGTGAGGCATCTCTCAACCTGATAGCTCAGTTATGTCTTTATATCTCTTCTCATCATTGTGACCAAATGTGTGACAGAAAAAAAGTTGAGGGAGTGCCCTCATTTGATTTCTGTTCCCATGATAAATAACACGGCTCAAACTAACTTGGGGAGGAAAGGGTGTATGGGATTTTACAGGTTAGAGTTCATTGACAAGGAAAGCTAAGGCAGGAATCAAGAAGTGAAACTCTGATCTGAATATATTGTATCTAAAAAGTCTTTTTCAATTAAAAAGGGAAGGGAGGGAGGAGTGAGCCTATAGGGAGGAAGAGCAGAACCAGCAGGAACACTGTGGTTCTTCAAATAAGAATGAGCCCCATTGGCTCACATATTTGAACGCTTAGTCATCAGGGAGTGGACTCCTTGATAATGATTAGGAGTAGGTATGGCCTTGTTGGAGGAAGTGTCTCACTGGAGGAGGGCTTTGAGGTCTCAAAAGGCCAAGCCCGGCTCAGTATCTTTCTCTTAACTGCCTGTGGATCTAGAGGTGCAAGACTGAGCTAGTTCTCCAGCTCTGTGTGTGTGCCACCAAGGTTCCCGCCACGATGATAATGGACTAAGCCTCTGGAACTGTAAGCAAACCCCAATTAAATGCTTTACTTTATGAGTTGCCTTGATCACCGTGTCTCTTCACAGCCAATAGAACACTAAGACAAACTTGCCTCCCAGCTCCTAGTCAACCTAGTTTTTTATATTACCCAAGACCACCTGCCCAGGGCTGGCTAGGCTCTCTATCAGTTAGCAACAAGAAAATGTCCCCTATAACAAACAACAGGTTAATCTGATGGAGGCAATTTCCTCAATTGGGATTCCCTATTCCCTGGTGTCTCTGCCTTATGTCGAGTTAACAATAACTAACTAGCACTGGGATGAAAGATTTATCTTGGCTCATGGTTTTAGCAGGTTCAACCCATGCTTGCTTGGCGCCTTGGTAATAATGGACACATCACAGGTGAGGTTCTTCACTTCATTGAATACAGGAAGCAGAGAATTCAAGAAGCCACAGCAAGATCCAGCCTCAAAGGGCCCCAGTGATTACTTCCTCTAGCCAGGCCAGACCTCCTACCTTTAACCACCTCCCCAAATAGGGTCTTATCCTTAATCTGTTGAGGGCTTAATCAGATCATTAAGCCAGACCTCTCATAATCTACTCATCAATAATAATGTCCTCACAGACAGAACCAGTAGTGTCCCTCAGTAATCTTTCAGGCACTTTTGAATCCAGTCATGTCTTCTGTCAAAAGCAAACATTACAGATTGTGAAGTTACAAGTGTGTTTCTGACTGAAGAATGACTTGTAGAAAGGTATTCTTGAGAGACATCTGAGAGATGAGGTAGCAAAATGGGAAATGCCTGGGACTGTGTCATAGCTGCCATCTGTTTGCTTCTCAGTATGGAATGATTAACATTGTCACCTGACTAAGCAGCCTGAAACTAGGGTCAGCAGTTGATCAGAGTAGCAGAGCTTCCCCAAAGATCATTGTCTTCCTTCTGGGCGCCATTTAATAGTTCTACAAACTATTGTGTTGCTCAAAGTAAACTGTATCCCATCTCCGGTTAATTCCTGCTCTCCTGGCCTAATTCTTAAGAGTGTGCTCTTTTACTCTCAAAGTGCCCATTTTGAATAGTCTCAGCATGTCCACCTCCAGCCTTTTAGGACATTTCTTCTTGTGTTTTGATTGCAGTAATCGGGAGGCAAGAGCAGGCAGATCTCTGAATTGGAGGCCAGCCTGGGTTACATAGTGAGTTTCAGGACTCCCTGAGTGACATTGTGAGAACCTATCTCAAAAGCAGGTTGCATTCTGCATCCCTCAATCATCTGGAAAGGGTGATGGAGCTGTTTGGTAAACATCTTAGCCTGGGTTGAATTTTCTTAGAATTTTTGCATATATAATATGGAATATAATAATAAGCCATGTAAACTAGGAAGCGATTAATTTCTAAACTATGACTATTATTGCTGCCTACTAATAAAAATAAGAAGCTTAAGCCACTTGAGGAGGGGGAGTTAAAACTTCCCAGAGGAGTTGGGATTATGCCTGTCCAAAGTAGACAGAGTAGTCTCTGAACTCAAATGCCCCTTTTTACACTCAGTTCTTCAAGCCGCAGTTACAGGAATAGCAGGGAAGGACCTATCTGGTTATCCTTTCAGAAGACAACATCGCCTGAATTTTGGGGAGAGTCAGTATGAATGTGACATCCAAAATAGCTGGGATACTAAGGCCAGAGGTGGGGAGAAACTCATAGCTTTGGTTGCCTGGACTATGTTTGCAGCCTGCTCAGTTTGTGTATACATCTGCAAGGTTCTGGCTTTACTCTTCTCTGACCTGAATATTAGAAATGTAGTCAGCTAAATCTGACTGTGTGCCCTGTCTTGTATTTGCTTCACTGTACTGCAGGTGACATCAGTTGCAAGGGGATGACCGAGCGCATTCACAGCATCAACCTTCACAACTTCAGCAATTCCGTGCTCGAGACCCTCAACGAGCAGCGCAACCGTGGCCACTTCTGTGACGTGACGGTTCGCATCCACGGGAGCATGCTGCGCGCACACCGCTGCGTGCTGGCAGCCGGCAGCCCCTTCTTCCAAGACAAGCTGCTGCTGGGCTACAGCGACATCGAAATCCCATCGGTGGTGTCAGTACAGTCGGTGCAAAAGCTCATTGACTTCATGTACAGCGGTGTGCTGCGAGTCTCACAGTCGGAAGCTCTGCAGATCCTCACGGCCGCCAGCATCCTGCAGATCAAAACAGTCATAGATGAGTGCACACGCATCGTGTCACAAAACGTGGGCGATGTGTTCCCGGGCATTCAGGATTCTGGACAGGACACACCAAGAGGCACACCAGAGTCAGGCACATCTGGCCAGAGCAGTGACACGGAATCAGGCTACCTGCAGAGCCATCCACAACACAGTGTGGACCGCATCTACTCGGCACTGTACGCTTGTTCCATGCAGAATGGCAGCGGCGAGCGCTCCTTCTACAGCGGTGCAGTGGTCAGCCACCATGAAACTGCACTCGGCCTGCCCCGTGACCATCACATGGAAGACCCCAGCTGGATCACACGCATCCATGAGCGCTCCCAGCAAATGGAGCGCTACCTGTCCACCACCCCTGAGACCACGCACTGCCGCAAGCAGCCCCGGCCTGTGCGCATCCAGACCCTGGTGGGCAACATCCACATCAAGCAGGAAATGGAGGATGACTATGACTACTATGGGCAGCAAAGGGTGCAGATCCTAGAACGCAATGAATCCGAGGAGTGCACGGAAGACACTGACCAGGCCGAGGGCACAGAGAGTGAGCCCAAAGGTGAAAGCTTTGATTCCGGGGTCAGCTCCTCTATTGGCACCGAACCTGACTCAGTGGAACAACAGTTTGGGGCAGGAGCCACAAGGGAGGGTCAGGCAGAACCCACCCAACCTGAGCAGGCAGCAGAAGCCCCAACTGAGGGCGGTGCCCAGCCAAACCAGCTAGAAACAGGTGCCTCCTCTCCAGAGAGAAGCAACGAGGTGGAGATGGACAACACAGTGATCACTGTCAGTAACAGCTCTGATAAGGGCGTTCTCCAACAGCCTTCAGTCAACACATCCATTGGGCAGCCATTGCCAAGTACCCAGCTCTATTTACGCCAGACAGAAACGCTCACCAGCAACCTGAGGATGCCTCTGACCTTGACCAGCAACACACAGGTTATTGGCACAGCTGGCAACACCTACCTGCCAGCCCTCTTCACTACCCAGCCCGCGGGCAGTGGCCCCAAGCCTTTTCTCTTCAGCCTGCCACAGCCCCTGACAGGCCAGCAGACCCAGTTTGTGACAGTGTCCCAGCCTGGCCTGTCCACCTTTACTGCACAGCTGCCAGCGCCACAGCCCCTGGCATCATCTGCAGGCCACAGCACAGCCAGTGGGCAAGGCGAAAAAAAGCCTTATGAGTGTACTCTCTGCAACAAGACTTTCACAGCCAAACAGAACTATGTCAAGCACATGTTCGTCCATACAGGTGAGTGCCACTTCTCTGAAGGCTAGGCAGTGGAGTCTGGAGGGCTGTGGGAGAGAGAGAGAGAGAGAGAGAGAGAGAGAGAGAGAGAGAGAGAGAGAGAGAGAGAGAGAGAGAGAGAGAGAGGAGAATAGTAATGTTCCTTCCTTGTGCTTCTTCTGAGAATTATATTAACATATGTGACTTAAAGGTGTTCCTATCATAGTAAGTTCTGTGTAAGTTGTACTTATTATTACCATTATTAAGATGGCTGGGAAGAGGAGACATTAAGTTTATTCTATTTGTCTCCAAAAAATAGAATTGGGCCATTGAAAGCTCTGCAGAGAGTCTTTCAACTAAATAAAAGAAAAGGTTGAACAGCTCTGAGCTGTTTGCTTCTCCAAAAGACTGTCCTCTGTAATTCGAAGAGAGAATGGATTGTTTAATAAAGATACTGTCCAGAGGACTTGGGAGAGATAGTGGTTCCCTGGACTCCATCCCTCCAGAGATAAAGATCTACAGACTTCTGAGCCTGCCCTTTCTTTCCCTAGCTCTATAGAAGTGCCTCCATAGAAACTAGAGATCATCTGTGTGGTCATGGCTTCACATAGGTTCTCTTAGAACTTAAATCAATGCCTGGAACAGCAATCATCATATTTGAAATTCTTACAAGGGTCATTCTTCCTGGCATAGTTTTGGGTCTATAATAGTTATGTTAAATAAAATCATTTGTCAGGGAGTACTTACATACTGGAATTCTAATACAGGGGGTAAACTTCACTCCTCAGAGCAGCCTCATTTCACTCACCAGGCTAGCACAAATCTAAGAGATAGGGTATAAAGCACATACATTTAAATAGAGGGTTAGGAGAAAAGGGGACACTACATATGCAGCTGAGCAACAGAAACATTGCCTAAGCTGAGCTTTGCCTTCTTTATAGTTCGGTCTAAGGCAGGACATGATGTTAAATGTATGTGACTTTATGTCAATAACTTGTGCTTTAGTTTTCACACCTCCAAATAAATACAGAGATTCATTGCTGAACTTAGAAAGAAAATTAGGCAGTGATAAGTCACTGTGTTTACTTAGGGCAAAGGTGAATGCAGGGATAACCTGAAATTAATCAAGTGAGTTAAAGAGCATTTTTTAGTTATGGAGTATTATATTGTAAATGTCCCATCAAACAGAAACATATAGATCCTATTAGATTATGTATTGAAATAAGATCTTAAATTTGCAACATAAAACTCCCATCCTACTCCAAATTGTCTTTTCAATGTCGAAATGCATTTCTCCAGTACATTCACCAAGGAACCCTGTAGTTAATCCAAGTAAGTGGCTTTGCCTGTGATAAAAATCAGCAATGGATTTGCACACCTGTATGTTACAGAAGCAAAAAACTATAAAGTCATTCTTACAAACTTGAGATGTATTCAAATTGTGGTCTGCAAAATGCAGTAAATGACTAAGGTCCTCAGCTGTTTAAATGTATATAAGACAGAAACATCTGGGAAAAAGTCTTACATCTATACCAGCCAGACATTTAGATCTTTAAAAACATCGCTTTTCCCTTTCATTCTAGAGTTGTTTGGCTCTGGCAGTTTGGGAAGTACATCTGTATTTCAATATTGAACATGGTAGCAAAAGAAACAGAAAAAGAAAGCTAGCACCAGCCATCCTTCATGGGACAAAGCAGAGTTCTCTCTCACTTTCCTCATCAAGAGATAAAACACAGGTTAAAATAAAGGAGCAAGAGGGATCAGAAGCCAGAGATGGAGGATGTTAGAAGGATAAGCCTTGGTGTTGCCATGGATATCAAGGCAAGCATCTTAGCAGGGTATCATATATTTTATCTGGAAACTCCAGGTGGAACTTTCTTTTCAGATCCAAACTTAGGGCATTTTACTTAAAAAAAAAAATCTATAAATGAATATGGGCTAGCATATGTAGTTTCTTAGCAAATGTTTGTTGAGTGAGTATGTAAATGAATGTTCAAAAATGTGGACATGCTTTCCAGGAGAACTTAATTCAAGGAACTTATACATAAATGCATTCCTTTCTCTGCACGACTTTTAGATTTCTTTCTTTTAAAAAAAAATAGTTTTAGAATGTATTGTGGGTTATCTATGTTCCCACTTATGGTTTTTCACCAGCAAATTATGGTTCTTTGACTTTTTTTCTGAATCCTATTATCAACAGCCTGTCCGCTGGTGATGCCTTTTAGCCCATTGATGTCCTTTGTGCTTAAGATAATTCTGCTTATTCCTTTGGAAGCTCAGCCTTTTCAGCCTTGAATTCAGTGTGGAAAAAGTAATAGCTGTAACATGTCAGTGTTAGTGATAGGGCACTAAGAGACACAAGGCGGTGGTTTGATCATCCATATAAGAGTTGGACTGCTCTGTCAAGATAATGCATATAGTTTTAGAGGAGTGGAGCCTCGTTTCACTCCTTTGTGACTGGGTGACTTGAAGTAAGTTCTAGTTTGAACCTGAATCACAGTTTTTCAGGTCTTAATAATAGGTTACTCTGAGGATTAAGTAATGGTTACGAAAGCACTGAACTATAAATGTTGTAACATTATCACAGCCACTTAGGAATAGATGTTACATTTTCCAGAATGATCTAGAGGGAAGAACTAGTCACAGTAGGAAGAGGAGTTAGCAGGGGTTGAGTGATTGCTTACTTTACTCTCTAAGCTATTATTCATTTGTTGGGTGATCTTCAGGATATTAGCACAAAAGTGACAGGAGATACCATTTTCTGGGGTATTAAAATCCACCCCACTCATGACACTGTAAGAGGTCAGACAATATAGACAAAGGTCCCCAGGTATTTAAAATTCTGCTCCAAAGAAGTTCGTGTATGCATGTTTCCCCATTGGCAGTCCTTCCTAGACAGCCAGCAGGGACAAGGCAAAAAGACCAGGAGGGACCAGACCGACTCTTCTTATTGCTACATGCTCTCCTGGATGGAGAGCAGCTGTGCAGCCAGGGAAATCATCACACTGTGTGTTTGAGCACACTCCACTGTTGGTACCAAGCCCTTTCCTATTTTCTGGTCCACTCTTCACTTCCCCCATTTGATGGACCTGTATTTCCCAGAACAGCTCTATTCCCTCATCCCCTGCCTTCCTTGCTGCTTTATTCCTCACCAAGCATCCTGTCTTGGTTTTCTGACCCTCAGCAATTCCTATTGTGCTCATCCAAAGAGAAGGTAGGCTTGCTACAGCAGAAGATGGATAGGCAGAGACAGGTAGAGCTGAAAACTGCACATACTGTCCTTTATGCAGCCCAGGAAAAGCGACTAGAATAAGAAATAATCAGTAGAATAAATGAGTTCTTTCTAAACCCCCAGTACTAAAATCACAGTGAGGACTTGGGGTGCCTGGACTTGTTACAGTAACTTCCACTGAAATGATGTGAACCTTCTATACCTACTTACTAATCATTATCTTCCTCTTTATGTGTCTCCTTAGACATAATAGAGTTAAGTGTCAGAGCTGGTCCTTCAGGGGTTAAAGAGCAGGCACTGAAAAATTGAGCAAAACATGAACTTTCACCACTCCAGTGGTGAAAGCCAGTATAGGCCTCTTCCCTGGTTCTTCCCCTGCTGGTTGACTTCTTATGTTTAAGTAAGAAGGCTACATGCTTCACTTTTAATTGCTAGCTTCAACCAGAACAGCCTGCTTTAGGGATGGTTTGAAATTTTTTTTTTTTTTAATTTTTATTTGGATTTTGTTTAACTCAGGATTTACTTTCTTATTCAGTGAAGTGACTTCTCAGTTGGTTTACTTTAGCCTCGGTTTCTGCAGGCTGGATGTAACAGTCTAGCTTTCCTTAAAATTGCCTTTACTTTGTACTAAGTACCTCATCATTTTTCAAAACAAGTTCACACACATGCACTTTTGGAGCTATTATTAAGATAAAGATAAAGAAACTGAGGCTTAGAGAGCTTAGATAACATGCCCAAATCACTCAGCCAAGAAAGAGAATTCATCTGAGTCCTCCAGAATGGATCACTTTAAAGTAAAGGGCTCCTTATCCCCTGCTGCCCTCCGTGTTATGGTTCATATTTCCTCTTTGCATTTTGTGACCTTTCCTAACAACCCAGACTTGATAATGTGAACCATAGGCTCAAATCCAGAAAACCATCTGTGACTGTTTATCATCTTTACCCCACATTTCTCCACGGGGAGAACCACAGTCTACAGACCATTCACTTCATGATTGGTGCCCTGTTTTCCTTTAAGGTTTGCTAGAAATAGTATGTAGGAAAGGAAAATGATAAGGAAATGTTATGATTCCAGCTAAGTGACATTGTTTGAAGTCCTTCCACATAAGGAGAGCAGGTGTGGGCAGATAACGGAAGTGAAAATACACACAGGTCATCAGACAGTCCCTGGAATGCCCAGCTCCATCATCTCAGTGCTGGAGTAATTATAGAGAGCATCTTCTTCAGAGCAGCTCCCAGGTGCTTTCTGTGCACTTCTCTCATTAACTAGCACTCCATTTTCCTGTGGCAGGATAGATTACCAGATACTTTGTCCTATTTTAAAATGTGGGACTGCCCAAGTATTGAGTGATTAAGCAGGTTGCCCTCAGGTCATTTGCTGACAAGGCCAGGACTAGAGGTCTCAAGGGTTGTGGACCACCCTCAGATGAAGACCAGTAAATCCACAGAGCCACAGCAAGTGCTTTATCCAATTTGTCACCTACAGAAGGCAAAACAAACCCAGAGAGATGGAAAGACTTAAAAAGCCCAGGGTCACACAAGTAATTACTGGCATAACCATACTACATGCATACAAACAACGCACATATATATGAGATGGAGGAAAAGATGACAACTGTGAAGAATCAATTTATAGTTGGATGAGAAGGGTGTGAAAGGAAAGAGCCTTGATCAGTGACCTTGCCTAGAGGAAAAGCAGTAAGAGGTGAAAGTTGCAGACAGCAAGAGCATTTTAACAAGGAGTTTCACCTTCCAACCAGCCAAAATACCATCTGCAATTTAAGGCATGCTTCCCATTAAAGGTGACAGGTGGACATGTTCTAAGAGATAGTTGGACAGCCTCTCATAGCCCTATAAATTGTACTGAAAGCACAAGGATAGCAAAGACCAGCTGAGTTGCAAGCATGTTTACAGCTGACAGAAATGCCTCAACTAAAAATAGAATGCATGATTGTCTGTAAGGGAATCTCTCATTTACAAAAGCTTTACCAATGTAAACACTGTGCATAGACTGAACTCTTTAGCGAGCTGGCCTCATTAGCAATAAGTCCTCCCCAGATTCTCCTATTGGAATCTAAAAATTAAATTATTCTCTTTTAGCCCTGGGATCCTGTACATCATACTTCCCCCATTAGAATGCTCCAACTCAAGCCCCCTTATGTTAGAAAATAGCAAGAAAATTGTCTAATGAAAGTTCCATAAAGTGAAACATAAATATGAAGCATTCAACCCAGAACCTGGCATAATAAATATCCAGTGCATAGGTGTTTGTTTTATTGCTATCGTTACCACGGCAAATCACCCTCCTTCAGGATGGAAAGATGAGAACCACCGTCAAGGTCCTTGTACAAATGGGGGTTAACTCAGTTTGTGGAGCACATCCTTGGTCTTGCTGTACATTTCAGATGATGAAACATTACCCCAGAGGGTCTCAAGCATGAGGCTTTGGGCAGCTCTGAAGCAAATGTCTACTTCCGGGCTATCAGTAATGAAGTGGAAGAGATGGGCCATACCCTTTAGAGAGTTCATACCAGCCATCAAAATCAGAGAGCAGCAAGTGTTGATAGCCAATACACTAACAAAAACTAGTCTTTAATCAATTATCCAAAGTGATGTCCCAGGACGATGGGCTTTTCTTCTAGAAGGGTCCCTCATGTGACTAGTCTTGTCTTGCTATTTTTAACTAGCTAGATCATTTGGTTTCAGAGCCAGTGGTAGACAAAGCAGTAAACACACAAGAAAGAAGGGCTTGTGCCAGCTGGCTAAGAAAAAAAAAAAAAAAAAAAAAAAAGACAGAAAAAGAAGTTGACCCAAAAGTTCAAAAAACATATGGAACCATTTAATGGGGGAGGATGTAGCCTTGTAATAAGAATGCCATGCAAGTATTCCCACACCGCCCTTGGTGGTCCATAAAACGATTCCATATGCACTTCATGTCAACACCGTCACAATGAGGTAAGCAGGACTGTATACCTCGGAGGCTCTTGGCGATTTGTTAGAATTGTGCACAGTGTGTTGGAGCCTGTGCTTGAACAGGACCAAGTAACACAGAGATCAACAGTGGCCCCCCATCTGTCTATTCAGCTTCCACAGCCGGTGAAGCCAGTCTGCACAACAACCCATTCACTCTCAGGTTTCATATCAAGAAGATTTTGTGAGACACAGATAAACTGAACATGTGGGCCAGCAGCCCAGGCCTGTAGTCAGGAACTAGGCCGAATAATGGAAATGGAGACTTTCCAGAAAGAACCAAGTTATGTGACCAATAAAGATATTCTCTTAATTCCTGTATTTCTTTGCAAAAATTAATTGGAAATATGTAAATATCAAATAATGGTATTGGGAATGACTCTTAGCCTTCTTTTTCCCCCTCTTCTGGGTGACATTTAAAAAGTTGGGTAGTAGTTGCTGTTACTTTCCAAGAGTGTCACTTTTGGTCATGGGGAAATGGAAAAGTCTAGACTTTCCTGGCATCCTTAAAGCAAAACTTCCTTCCTCTGTACAAGAAAGGCCAGGAAGGCCTAGACCTTTCCAACCAAGGATGATGATCCATGAAACAATCAAATTTTATTTTAGTTTTTAATTTTTTGTTTTTCTCTTTTGTTGTCTTGTTCTTCTGTCTCTCATTCCTCCCACTTTGGCTGTCTTGTTCTGTTCTGCTTGCTGTGTCTCCCACATCAACAGGTGAGAAGCCCCACCAATGCAGCATCTGTTGGCGCTCCTTCTCCTTGAAGGATTACCTTATCAAGCACATGGTGACACACACAGGAGTGAGAGCATACCAGTGTAGCATCTGCAACAAGCGCTTCACCCAGAAGAGTTCCCTCAATGTGCACATGCGCCTGCACCGCGGAGAGAAATCCTATGAGTGCTACATCTGCAAAAAGAAGTTCTCTCACAAGACCCTGCTGGAGCGACATGTGGCCCTGCACAGTGCCAGCAACGGGACCCCTCCCGCAGGCACACCCGCAGGTGCCCGTGCAGGCCCGCCAGGCGTGGTGGCCTGCACCGAGGGGACCACTTACGTCTGCTCCGTCTGCCCGGCAAAGTTTGACCAAATCGAGCAGTTCAACGACCACATGAGGATGCATGTGTCTGACGGATAAGTAGTACCTTTCTCTCTTTCTTATGAACCAAACAAAACAGCAACAAAAGAATAAACAAACAAACAAACAAAAAGCTATGGCACTAGAATTTAAGAAATGTTTTGGTTTCACTTTTACTTTCTGTTTTTGTTTTTTGTTCCGTTTCATTTTGTACTACATGAAGAACTGTATTTTGCCTGCTGGTACATTACATTTCCGGAGGCTAGGGTGAATAATAGTTCTCCCAGTCTCCCTTGGATGGTGGCCTTAAGGCCTGGTAGTGCTTCAAGAGGTCCACTGGTTGGATCTCTAGCTACTGGCCTCTAAATACAACCCTTCTTTACAAAAAAAAAAAACAAAACAAAACAAAACAAAAAAACAAAACAAAACAAAAAAAAAGCAAAAAAAAAAAAAAACCACACACACAAAAAACAAAACAAACAAAAAAATCTTTTAAAAAAGTTAAAAAAGTTTTAAAAAAAGAAAAAGTTGTTTTCCACTCGTGAAGAGCACTACAGAATCTATAAGGAGATGTAAAAGGCCTGCTGTCTTTAAGTACACCGCTCACAGTGTTTCAGTGGACATTTCACAATTCTGGCCACTTGGACTTCACAGTAACCAGTTAAAACTGTGGAATATCACTTCTGGTTGAAAACCGAGAGGAAAGGCCCTGCTGTTTCCACCTACCACGTTATTAAAGGGCTGTGGGATGGAAGGGGGCAGTGAGCCCAGTGGTGTAGGGAGAAAGTGGCGTGGCAGGCTTCTCCCCCAATTCTGCCCGGTCCACACACCCTGGCCCAACTCCTCCACCCCCCCCCCACCCTTTCAGCAGAAGCCAGAAGACTTGGACAAGCAACAGTGGCTATCGTATTTATTCAGTGTCTTCGCTGAGCTGCAGTCTCGGCGCAATCAGGAGGGACTCATGAAAGGCAGGAATGCAGAGAAAATGATAACAGATTTCACACCTATGTTTCTAGGTACAAGAGAAGGATTATTTCCAACAACCTTTGCAAAAAAAAGTGTCAGGATATATTCTTGTGAAGGAGAAAAAGAAAGAGAAATGGAGGGTGGGGGGGAACGATAAAAGTTCTTGAGGCTTTTTTAATTGAAAATTTTATAGAGGGGCAAAAGTGATGTTTACCAGATAGAATGCTGATTTTTAAAATATATTTACAACAGTATTTGTGTAAAAAAAAAAACAAAAAAGTAAGATTGTCAAATTTTTTTTTCTCATTTTGGGTTTGTATACACACTGCCACCAGTCCCTTCTCATTTACTTTGTCTTTCTCTCTCTCACACACACACACATGCGTGCGCACACACACATACACACACACACACACACACACACACATATATATATATTTTGTTAAGTCAAGACTGTTAAGGTTAGCGATACTGCTTCCAGATAGAAAGAATAAAAGGCAACTAAAGTTATATTTGAAAGAGAGGAAGGATATTTTCTTCATATTTTTTCTTAGTTTTTATTATTTTAAGTATTGCCTGGGTTGCTGAGGGCCGCAGAGGCCCACCCACCCCTGCTGTAATTTCAACTGCTGCTCTGTTTTGCTGTGTATATCTTTGACTTCTAGCAAGCTTAAGTTGCTCCACTGAAGATGTTTTCATCAATCCATCTAGAATTCTGTCCTTTTTCATGGGAGGGACATGATGACCCTTTAGCAGATTTCTTACTTCTCCAAACTTTACTGAGCTTTTAGGATTCTAGAATTTCCATTGACCTTGCTTTTTCTCTTTGACAAAACACTAGTAGTCTAGAGATCTTCAAAGGGGTTTGTTTCCTTTATGGTCAGCCAGGAGGAGGACTCCACAAAACTCTACCCTCCACTGTGTGAACGTCACTCTGAGAAGCCTGTTACAAACCACAATGTGTTGATGCCAAAACTCCTTTCTTCTTTTAAACATCACCTTTGGACTCTTCCCACCATGGCGAAGAGGGCTATGTAGGATACTCCTTCTTTAATTGATTATTAACCCAAGCTCCCTGTGCGAACAGCCAGCTTTCAAAAGGCCCTGGGTCTCCAGCACTATCCCAGATGCCATTCTTTCTAGTTGATATCTCTCTCCTTGGTCTTGATCCAGAAATCCTAAGGTTTCCCAATTATATAGAGTGTCCTGAAGGGATTCCAGCTCAAAAGTAGGACTTTTTAAACCTAGCAAATACTAGGAAAATAATTTCATGACTGGGCATGTTATAGCATGCTTAAAAGGAGAAGTAAATATTCCAATAATGCAGGAACACCAAACTACATTTTTTTAAAAAGAAGAAAAGAGAGGATATTTTCATTTCTAAATTGTTCTATATTTTAATTTAATTTTCCTGTTAGCATTTTATTTACAAAAAAAAAAAAAAAAAAAAAAAAAAAAGAAGAAGCAGCAATCGAGGGAACATTTTCCAAGGCAAGCAAGTCTATAATGACTAAATTGGTTTTAGACAATTGGTTAACTTGGATCTTTTCCATACATTCTTTGTGATGTTTAGTAGTTTGTACAACTGGAATGTTTGTGGAGTTTGAGTTGATCTTATGGTGCTTCATTCAGTGGATATTTTGCTAGAAGTTGTAATGTGGATTTGGATGGTTAGCTGACTACTGAGGACCACTCATTGTGATTTCTAAGAGGACAACCAAGAATGTGTGTGATCTGTTTTAAAAATAAGTTTCAGAAATTAGGCAGTACTCCCTCCCCATCCACTGCCTGCTGGTTTTGCTGTTGAAAGGGTCAGTAATGACTTCCTGTTTCCTTACCACCAATAGAGGGAGCATTAAGTAACTACATCACAGAACCCTTTTGATATTTTCAAAAATGTGTTGTTTAACTCATTAGGGAAAAAAGACTGACATTGAGATAATTATTTTTTTTTAATTTGGTGGGGGGAAAAGGCATGAAATGACTCATCATATAAAACAAATGAAAGACGGTCAAAACCTAGTTTTAGTTACATTCACTGTTGTCGGGGGTATACTTAAAATAATGCCTCTTTTCAAACCTTAGCAAAGTAGCAGAATTCATACTGTTTCTGGGAAAACTTATCTTGAGTGCCGTTGGGCTACACATCCCCATCTACTTCTTAAATATGAAAGGACCCTTGATTTAACACGCATTTGCCATTGTCAGAAGCTAGGCAACTGGATTAAAACTCCAACATCTGTTGTAGAGTATGTGAGGAAAACAGCAAGTGACTGGAAAGCCTGGTACACACCCTTTTCTTAGGAAAGGGAATGCCTCCTTTAAAAAAGGGTGGGGAGGTCCCTCAAGAACATTGGTAAGGCCCTACTTTCTAGCTCATTCTGTTGTATTTATTTTTCTACCAAACATCTCACAGCCTAAAACATTTGACATTGTTCTCTAGAACTAGGAGGTATCAGAGCCCCCAAGCAAAGATGCTTCTTCAGGGCTAGTATCATTGTCTAGCCTTTAAAGGGCTGCTTTCTGACTGACCCACAGTTTTGAAGATGAACCACACCTATCCCAAAAGATACAGGTGCTTGATTGTCCATGCACAATTGCTATCTCACAATCACAAAGAAGAGCGGGGTGAGGAAGAGTCTTCTCATTTTTTGATTTCCAATTCTACAGTTTTTATGGTGGATGCTACCACCAGTGCTTTTAAAACTAGAAAAGAAAAAATGTCTTTTTAGTGTTCAGAAACACACACACACACAAACACAGAGAGGTAGAAGCAGGCAGATCTTAAGAGAGGCTCAAAGGACAAGAGCTGGCATGCAAAAGAACACTAGTATAATTTTTAAACAATCTATGTTTTTTAAATGGAATTTGTTGAATACAAAAACAGGAAAAAAAAGTCTGAGGAATGTTTGTCTCAAGACATTTATATAGAAATTATGAAAATTAAATTCCCTAGCACTAAAACATTGATAGTATCTCAGCATATGGGTACTTTTCCCTGTATTAAGTACCAAAAATTGTACAAAAAGAGCCCCTGCCTGTAAAATATACCCCCAAAAGACAATAATTATAGCTAATAAAGGTTCAGTTCTACAATTAAAAACAAAACTGAGAAACAAGCCCCACATAATCTGAAATGAAAATCAAAGTTTTTTCATTGTTGTAGACACACACTCCTCCCGGGCACGTGGCACATTCTCCGGTCACAGTTCTGTTTGCTCATGCCTCGGGTGTACTGTCGCTGCCTCCCATATCTAGGCGGTCATAGTGGTTCTTAGCCTTAGAAAGACTTGGATTTGCCTCTTTCTCTACGAGTCAGAGAGCTTTATTTTATATCTGGATGTCATGTAAGACCAAGAAAACCCTTTACAACCCATGAACAGGGAGAGTCCATGTCTGAGACTAAAGAGCAAGAAAAGGTTTCCTCTGGGTGTGCTTGTTTGCCTGTCAGTCTTCCTGTTGTGACCTACATGTGACCACATGTGACCAGTGTGGTCCTGCTCATGCCCCAGAAAGCAGTGTTTTCTTTCCCCAAGAAAATACAGCGAAGTTCCTTGTTGCTTTTCTATTGTAATCCTCTAAGATAACTCCCAACACTGCCCTGAGGACATCAACCTGGCCGGGATGCATAGCAGATATGCCCATTCTGAGCCTTCCCCTGATGTTGCAGAAGTTATTTGATTAGTTAGGGCTGGCCATAGGGAGTACATGGTTCTACAGAAGATCACATCAGACTGGCTACGCTGTGACCAGTGTGCTGCAGCAAAGGGAACAAAAAGGTATAGCCCAGGAGCAGACAGGAGATGCCCTGTAGGAGAAAAGAACAGAGGGTGGGTGCCTTTTCTGCTGTGACTTGACTCTTAAAAGAAACCCTCCAAAAAGAATTCTTTAACTTAGTAATGAGTTGAAGTCCAGGGTAATGGAAGCTCTGGGGAAGAGAAACAAAAGAATTGCACAATGTATTCAGTACCCAACAATACCAAACCAGAAAACATCCAATCACAAAGCTAGGAAGTTTGGCAAGAGGCACTTAGGGAAACCTCCAGCCTTCTCCATGGGTAGGGTCCGCAGACTTTCTTTTGAGTGATTTCTGGCTCAGAGAAACCTCTTTACTCACTAGAAAAGAACTTTATTTAAATAGCCAATTTTGTCCCCCAGGGAAAAAAAGAAAAAAAATTTAAAAAGACAGAAAAGAAAAATAGGACACTAAAGACAGAACCATGTGAGATGGTGACAAACAAAAGAACGGGGACACAGGAATTTCAATAGACTCCCCAATTGGATAGAAAAGGAAAAAAACAAAAAAAACAAAGGACCTCCCAGCTCCAGACTCCCAGTCTGTTGGGAGGGGACAGAGTGCTTGAGCTGACCCAGCTGGCTTCCTGTGGCCAGGCATTACTGGGACCCCTGGCAACCTCCTCCTTCATTCTGTGTTTTCATTCAGAAAGGGGACCGTTCTTTTAGGTGCCCGGGAAATAGGTAGCATGGGGCAAACTTCCAAAAGCAAAAGCAAACTGCCCCAGAAGAGCTTCAGCCCATACATGAGAACCCTTAGAAATTCCCAAGGGCTTTGTGTGCGGAGTTACCATTTCCAATACATCTTAAACCTTCACAAGAGGCAGGCTGTGTTCCTGTAAAAGTGCATATGTGGAAGTTACTAACACAAAACATCACTTCTAGCATGATGATCAGCCCAAGCCAAATCCCCCAAGGAGGTCTCTAAGTTTCTCAAGATGCTTTTCTGCTTGACCACTGAACCCACAGCAGTAAGTGGTATGCATTACTAGGTCCCAGGAGTGACTGTGGGACTTCCCATTCCCTCTAAGGTGAACAGGTAAAGATGAAGGCTTGCAGCCACAAATTTTTTTTCAGAACCACGTGTCTCCTCTTCACTGAAAGAGGAATAGAAAGGCCCAGGACTAAAACCGAGTCTTAACCATGGTTGACTGACAGCAGCCCATCTCCCATGATTTCTTTAGACCCCATCTGTTGCTTCACAAACTAAATACTGAAGTAACGTGGCTAAGGAATTTTCACAAGAAAGCATTAGGTTGTAGAATTAATGCCTTAAGTTAGAAAGCTTGAAGGAAAGCAGACCAAAAAAAAAAAAAAAAAAAAAAAAAAAAAAAAAATACAGAAAATGAAAGGCTGTGGAGATAGGGATAATAGGGATGTTTCTTGCTTTTTAATGGTTCCATAATCACAAAACTAAGCTCTATTCATGATTGAGGACTATGGAAACAGTGACTTCCTGGGGAGGCACCAAACTTGTAGGGGAACTGGCTGCTTTCAGGAAGCAGCTATTTCCTGTCTGTTTCATTGGTAGGTCGAGGCTGAATGTAAAATAAGCATGTTGCTAAGTAGCAAGTCCCGTTAAACAGAATCACAGGTGCCTGGATGACTCTTAAATGTCTCCTTAACTGGGAGAATGATCCCAACATGCAACTTTCTTTTTTTATGTAGTTGGTATCTCTACAGTCTGCACTTTGTTCCACCTCAGTTTTGGAGTGCATTTGATTTCTCTTCTGTGTCTTTGTTTAAATGCAGAATCAAAACTTACAATTCTTTAATTAAGAGGTATCACCTGCAGATCATAGACAAAAGTGAGCCCGAGTCATGAAGTCCTAGCCTTGGCAATGCCTGGAAATAGTCTCCCTTCAAACTTGTTGAGAATTGAGGGGTTTCTTGGTTTAGAGTACTTCCATGAGATTCTGATACTCCTGAAGCAAAGAGAAAGGAATTACCCACCCACCCCCCCCAGGAGACAGTCTGTTTCTACTGCTGTTGCAGCAGTTCTTATAGCCCAAAGCATCAGTCTTTTGCACAGATGATAATAACAGAAGTGGCTTAACCCATCGAGTTTGTCACAGCTGCTGGCCAGAATGTCTGTAGATGAGTGCACCTTATACCTGTGCATGCATGGTGTGAGGTGCTCATGTCATGACACTTCATTTATATTCTCCACTGACAACAGTGTAGACTTGGAAATTTTCAGCTAGAGTCCAAGGCCTGACAATGTGCATACACCTGCTTTCTGCTCTGTTACCTTGGTTGGGTGCATCAGTATCTGTGATGAGGCCAGAGGCGAGCATGGGGAAATAGCCCAACTGTCAGTGGTTTGTGTATAGCCTCTTGAGGAGAAACTTGAACAAATGCTACACTTCTGTGGATTTACTGGTGAATGTGTGTGTGCACGCCCATGTGTGCACACAACTATACACATTTGTCTGTTTCTGTGTATTTATGTAGTCTGAGTGTGTGTGCACCTCTCAAATGAAGCACACACAAGCAGGGTTCCTGGTGCATAGATACAGTTGCCTCTTCTACCATTGTGCTCAGACTCATGGCTCTCTTCCCAGGAAGCAGTCACCTGCCCACTCTGTTGCTTTTTGTAGCATTTCAGAGTTGGGAGAAACAAAGGCAGCTTGTTGGCTCCACAGCAAACCCACAGGGACAGGCTGTTTCCCTCCAGAAGAGGGTGGAGTACACATACTCAACCAGGGAGCAGACCAGAGGGAGTCATCCAAGGCACCTCACAGGACTCCCAGAGGAGAGGCATCACCCAGGCAGGTAGCCCCCAGGCAACCCAGGATTAAGCCTCAGCTCAAAGTCCATTGTCCTCTCGGGAACCTCAGAGGTTTTAGAGGAGAATGGTCTGCAAAGCATGGCTAAAGTCTAGCCCCAGGCAGGACATCCCAGCTTGTAGCATGTGCACACATTCACACACAGGAACTACATGGGAGTCCTGCTCCCAGTCTGAAATCCCCTGATGCTGCCTGTACCCACAGGACATCACTGTCATTCAATTCACAAGCTGTGTCTCCTGAACCAGTGTGGCCTTCACCCCGGTCTTTCCAGGATGGACTGTTTACCATGTCTAGCAAACCAATAGAATATCAGAAGGATATCTTGAGGGGAATCTGTAATTACAGTCAGTGGCTCTTACCTATGTCAGGCATTAAAGTAGAATATAATATATTGAATGACTGGACTTAGCTCTTACAGGTAACTCTTGATGACCGATGACCTGGCAACAGTTGGATTTAGTTTTCCCACTCCCATGCCCTTCTTTTCCTAGATGGGTTCATTCTTTCTTCCCCTTGTTTTGTAATATGTACATTATTACTGCTTTACAGAATTCAGAGGACCTTCCTTTCCTCTTACATTTTAGTGACATTTTCCCTTCCCCCATGCTGTAAGGCTACTTACCATTGCAACTATTTTTTTTTTGTAGATTATAATTTTTTTCAAATGTGTGTTGTCTTTCTGTATACAAAGGAAGTCTGTGACCTTAACCACAGTATTTCTTCTTACTGGAAAAAAAGTTCATTTCTTGTTTTTGTTTGTTGTTTTAATTAACAGTACTAGTGACTCTGTAAAAGACTATGGTTACTATTTAGGTATGCTTACTTAAGTACAATACACTACATTGCAGTATTTCTGAAACCTAGAACATACGCATTATATATAAAACAACTCTATATTGAAATATATTCCATTGTATTCATTTTAACTTTGAATCTACCAATGATCATGAGTTGATTGAGATATCATTTCTTCATATATATCACCCATAACCACCTGATGCAGTTAATTCCCATTATGGCTCTAGTTTGCTTTCTATATTACCAGCTTCAGTGTTGTCTTTAGAAGATTCTAGTTTACCTTCTATATTATCAGCTTCAGTATTGTCTTTAGAAGATTTTAGGATTTTTTTTAAAGCTCAGACTTAGCACATGTAGGAAAGTGAAAACTGTTTAAACTTTAAAAAATTATTTTGCTGTGGCTTATACAAAGAAGCTCATATTCCATGTGATCTTATTTAGCTGACCGTGTCAACATCTGAAAAACAAAGGAAGTGCCCACCAACGTTATCTGTGATCTCCCCCTTTAGCACCAGCATCATCTATATTTGCTGTAAAAAAGTAAGACCAAGGAGCTTCTTGTCTGTCACATGATCTGACCAACTATCTTAAGCTGCATTTCAAAGGGCTGTTTTGGTGAGAAGCAAAGACAAGGATGTGTATGCCTCACTCTCCTGACTGTGTCTTCAAACATTAGTTTGCAGTATTGATCCTTCACCTTCTGCTCTCACTTTTTGTTATGCCTGTCATTTCTTTCATTAGTCTTTAGCATTTCCCTGGAGGCATCTTGATAATACACTGTTCATTTTCCCAGGAGATTTATTTTGAAACTAAAACCACATTTCTGGAAACTTTTATTAACAGAACTCAAAAACATATATGACATTATCCAGTCTGTAGCCTCCCTACCTTGGTGGTTCGTAGCTACATGGCCCTCAGCATCTCTACTTGCTTTCTTGTCTAGCCAGGCCACCAAGGAGGCATTCAGAAATCAGATAGCCCGTCTTCTAACAGAAGCACTTTCAGCTCATCTTTCCAAGTAAAAACCTTCAGATGCCCCCAGCTATTCCAACCAAAAGTATGGACATCAGAATCAGATCAACTGAACCCATCTCCTCCTTCACACCCTGTATTCAGGACAAAATGAGGTATAGAATCTCCCTGTGGTGGACCAGTATTTAGGCTTCTCGGTGTGAATAGACCACTTTCTCCTTCAATCTTCCATCATCAATTATTATCAAGTCTCATTACATTCTGCTGTGTCTGTTCAGTGTCTCCACCCCCAACCCACCCAAACTCTCTTTAGCTTCTTCCCGTTGTGATCCTGGCACTCACTCAGGATCTTTCCTTTAGTAGCATTCGATGACACTAGAGTCTAGTTGGAAACTACTTATTTCTCATCTGTTTTCAATGAAAGACATGGCAGCTGAAAAGCATGATTATGAACTGAGTGGTAGTGAAGCTATCCCTTCAGTGATCAGGTATGAGGCAAATTATCCCAACTCCATTATTTTTGCTTTCCTTGCCATATTCTCCTCCTTTCTTATTGTTTCTTTTTAAAGATATCTTTGAGCTGCTTAACCATCTCTTCTGTGCTTCTCCCCCCCAAATATTACATTGTGACCCCCAACTGTTCATGTCTTTCATCTCCCACCCTTCTTAGCATCTTTCTTTAAATGAGTTCATAAACTTGAGGCTCGTAGGCAGAGTGAAGCATGTCTTCATTTCAGCTTCAGATTTTAAAGGTTGTCAGTATCTTTTGAGAGTAGGAGGACCTGAGTCAGAGTTTTAAATGTCAACTGTACTAGTTGAGATCATTAATTCCTCTCACCTTTGCATTAAACCAAAGATAAGTTTTTTCTGGTTTTTTTATTATTATTACCACAGTTTTCAGATTTTTGATATGAGTAGACCATTTCTGAGGGAGGAAAAAAAAGGAAAGCTCCCA